AGAATGATGAAATTTATAATTTAATGTTGAAACTTTGGTTTGAAAAATACTTGCTCTGCCATCTTACAATTGTAGTATTATAACTTTTATACATCCAGAAAATGTTAATATGAATGACATCTTCAGTGGTTACATATTTTATGTATGTTAAGGCATAACAAAACCAACAGCAACAAAAAGCCTATGGTTATGTTGCCTACATCCCTTTACCCTGCACCAAAAAATGGTATCCTTAGTAACTTTTTCTTCTTTATTTATGTATCATCTGCCTGTATTCTATCTTTTATGTGGTAATATGTACATAGTTTTAACTCATGGATTTGGGTGGTAGACATAGGTTTTAAACCAATAAGAACCCTACATCCTACATGTGCTTTAGCATTTTCTGCTTTTAGAAACTTGATACCCATTATAGATTTCAAACCTGTGGGGAACAATGGAAGAGTGAATAAATTTGAACATTTTCAACTGTAATCTGAATGTGAGGTGGTTGGTCACAAGTCTGATTTTGAAAGACAGTAGGAAATTCTTAGTTAAAATTAACAAGGGGGGATTCTTAGTTAACAAGGGGGGAATTAAGAAAATGTTACTTCATGGAAGGAAGAGATTCTGGAGGAAAATTGGTGTTCTCTTAAGTTTATGTCTCTTGATGACTGTTGTCCATTGCTTGGTACTTAGAAAGTTTTCTCTAAGTCTTTTTAGATTTTTAAAGTTCTTCCTAGTTAGTGATTGATGAGGGTTTGTGATGGTACCTAGCTGTATGAAGAAAAAGCAGGTTTGGAAGTCAAAATTACCATAAAGTGATATCAAAATTACCATAAAGTGATAGTACATAAATGAATTATTTATTGGTTATAATGACCCTTTAATGCAGGATTTATGTCTGAGCTTTTCTTCTAGCTACATAGGACCAAATGTGCTCACAGATGACTTTCCCACATCCTCTGTATCTTGAGAAGCTTTTCTGTAAAAGCTGATTAGGGCAGGCATTGGTTGCTATGTGTAGGTATCCACTTATTTTTGGCTCCTAATTGCCTCAGTTAAAACTACCTGAAGAATATGGATGAAAGAAACCTGTGAATGCCATAAAGATGTAAATACCTTTGTTGAGAGATGTGAGGTTGTCCATTCTGGGCTGGATCCTTCCCCATAGGGAATCCCCCACCTGGACAGGCATGCTGCTTTGCCTGAAAAGGTACTCATATGAAGCTGAAAGCTAAGGATAAAAATCTAAGTCTCATCCATATATGATTGCTGTCATTTTCTAATTGTTTTTCTTGTTGAGTTTTCAAATTTTATTATATAGACTTTTTCAGAAGTGTGTTTGCGTAACATTTTCTCCCAATCTATAGCTTGTTTTTTCATCCTTTTGAAGAGGCTCTTTCATGGAGCAAAAATTTTAAATTCTGAACACATCCAATTTATCCGTTATTTGTGATTTTGTGTCATTTCTAAAAACTCTTTCACCAAGCCCTGTGATCCCAAATTTTCCTTCTGATTTATCTTCTAAAGCTTGTATAACTTTATATTTTGTATTTAAGTCTGTAATACACTTTTAGTTAACTTTTATATAAGGCATGAGGTTTAGGATAAGGCACTTTTTTTTTCTTTTGGTCTATTGCTACCCAGTTGTCTCACATCATTTTTTGAAAAGATACCTGGTATCCAATAGCATGTTTTTGCTCCTTTGTTAAAAGTCATTGGACAATTAGTATGGATCTACCTCTGGGTGATAATTTTATTCATTTGTGTCTTTATCCCTCTACTGATACTATAGTATTGATTATGGTAGCTATCTAATAATTTGAAAATTTACCCTTTATGCTTTTTTTATTTTAACTCTTCCATATAAACTTTGGCATGGTCTTGTTTATAACTACCATTAGTCTCATTAAAGTGTACCACTAATTTTGCTGGGATTTTGAAGGAGTTGGGTTAACGTATATAATTTTAGAGAGTACTGATATCTTTACAATGTTATCATGCTATATCCATGAATATTCAATAGCATGTTATTTGCAATGAAGTTTTACTTTCTTTTTAGTATACTTTTAATTTTCTGCTCTCACCTTAGAAAACTTAATAGAACTACTAATAGTTGAGTAAGAGTAGTAAAAAGAGAAACCTGGTTTTTGTCATTCATGTTGACTAGGTGTTTTGTATATTTTCTGTATCAAGTTGGATAAGTCTCCCTCTTTTCCTACTTTATTATGAAAGTGTTTAATTTTGTGAAATGCTTTCTTTAGATTGATATGATGTGATGTGGATTATAATGATTGAGCTTTGGATATTAGTCTTTCATGCCTGGATACAACATTTGATCACAGTGTGTAATTGTCTTTATATATTGCTGGTTTTTTTTTTTTTTTTGCGACTGCTTTGTTAGGGAATTTTTCATTTATATTTATGAGAATTGATATGCAGTTTTCTGTTTGTACTTTTTGCCTGACTTTGATATCAGGATAATGCCAAATTCATAAAATTAAAAACTGTTCCCTTCTCTATTTTCTAGAAAGGATTGTATAAAATTGGTGTTAGTTCTTCTTTAGAAATTTGTAGACATCTCCATTATAGGCTTCTATACCTAGAGTTTTTTTTCCTGGAGTTTACAGTCTTACTGAAAGTGCTTCTGGTCTTTTTTACAAAGAACCAGGCATGTGTTTCACTGTTCTAAACTTTATTTTTGGTTCTTCTCATTATTACATTCCTTCAGGTAACATTACCTTGGGTTTGCCTGACTCTTCCTAGCTTCTTGAGGTAAGAATTGATTGCTTTTCTTTGTTTTACTGAGCTATAAGTCACATATAAAATTTTTTCCACATATGAGACATGACGATTCAGTATTTGCATATAGTGTGAAATAATCATCATTAAATCTATTTACCATAGTTACTAAATTTTCTTTCTTGTGATTTGACTCAAGTTAATGTTTATATAGAAACATAATATTATGCTATCTACCAGAGGGTAGATTATCTCCCCATGATTTATTTCATAACTAGAAGTTTGTGCACTTTGACACTCTTCATCCATTTCTCTGGCCTCTCATCTACAGTCTCTAACAATACCAACCTGTCCTCTGTGTGTCTATAAGATTATTTTTCACTTCTAGATTCTACATATAAGTGACATCATACAGTATTTGTCTTTGATGTCTAGTTTATATTACTTAGAACAATGTTTTTGAAGTCCATCCATCTTGCAAGTGATAGGACTTCATACTTTTTTCTGGCTGAATAATATTCCAGTATAGATACATATAAAACCATCTGTTGACACTTATATACAATTCTTTGTTCATCAATTCAGTTAATTGATGTTTATATTAATGATAAATTCATTTAATTAATCCATTCATCATCAGTGGGTAGATTGTTTCCATATCTTAGCTATTATAAATAATGCTACAGAGAACATGGGACTCATTTATTTTTTTATTCCCTTTGAAAAAATATCCAGAAGCGAAATTACTAGATAATATGGTAGTTCTTTTTAAAAAATGTTAGGCTTTTATACTATTTTCCAAGGTGGCTGCACAAATTTATATTCTCAATAACAGTAGAGAACAGCTCTCTTTTCCCCATGTCCTTGCCCACTGCTAATATTTTTATACTTTAACCAGCATTCTGATAAGTGGTATCTCATTGTGGTTTTGCTTTAGATTTTCATATTCTTTTGTTTCTTGATGTGGGACCAAATTGCTATATACTTTCCTTTTAGTACTACTTTTGTTTGTGTCATATAGGTTCTGGTAGATTGTGTCCTCATTTGCATTTGTCTTGAGGCATTTTAAAATCTCTTCTTTGATATCCTTATTAACCCACAGAATGTACTAATATTTGCCTTGTGAGCTAATATATGTTCTGCTCTGGGAAATGTCTCATCTGCCTTCAAGAACAATTATCTGTTCGGCTTTTAAGGCTACTATGTCATTTATTTCTTGTTTGGCTGACTGACCTTTGATGAATGGTGTTGAAGTCCCCTGCAATCGACGTGCACTTCCCCTGTCAATTTTCAGGTTTGCTAGTAATTACCTTATACATTTTGGTGCCCTTTCATTAGGTACATATATATTGATGAGTATTATATATATCCTCTTGAAGTATTCTTTGCTAACCATTATATAGTTTCCATTTCAGGCTCTACTTTCCTCTTCTAGATGAAGATTTATCAGATATGACTGTTCTTGCCTCCCTTGGGATCCTGTTTGCTTGTAGAATTGTTTTCCAACACTTATAATCTGAGTCTCTGATTATCTTTTGTTGCCTACGTGTGTTTCCTGAGCAGAGCAGAATGTCAGAGTATTTGGTTGGATTAAAAAGCAGAATCTGTCTTTTAATTGATAAGTTCAGGCCTTTTAAATTTAGAAGGTCTGCAGTTCTATTTTGTCATTCTATTTCCTTATTCCATTTATTGTGTGTAGGTGGTCCTCTCTTTGGCTTAGATACTAGAGTTCCTTTTAATATTTCTTGGAGAGTGGATCTGGTTCTCCAAACTCAAGTTTCTCTGTGTCTATAGGCCCCCTTTTCTCCCTTAATCTAAAGGAGAGTCTTGCAAGATATAGAAACTGATAGTGAAGAGTAAGCTTTTGATTTCAGCATTTTGCTCTGTTTGCTTCAGAGAAATTGAAGTTAGCCTGATTGGGATTCTCTTATTCATTATCTGTTTCTCCCCGCTTACCGAATTCAGTGTTCTTTGTCTTGATCTAGATCTCCACCCTGGTGTTTTTTAAAGCTTTTAGCTTTATGGACCTTCTTCAGGTTGGAATATTTTCAATTTCTCTAAATAAATTCTCTGTTCCTGTGTCTCTGTTCTATTTCTAGGACATCCATTTTCTTAGTCCTTGAAGTGTTATTTTTTTGCTTTCTACAGTATTTTCCAACTCCAATCTTTTTACAACCTGCAATTTCATTATATTCTTTTGACTTTGTTTCTCAGGGTATATTTCTGAATTTTATTTCCTTGTATATAGTTCTTCATCATGGCAAGTTTGAATGCTCTGATAGGAAGAACAGATCTTCTATGTGATTGTGTTTTGGAGATTTGCTCTGTTTCTGTGCTGTAGTATTCCCAGAGGACTCATGTGGCTGTTTTTTTGTCTTCCCATACTTGGATTCCAGGGTCATGATATTGTGGGTGGGGCTTCTACTGGGTGTGCTTCACCTCTGCCATGGACCAGTGTTCTTACCAATGGGCCTGGGGGTTGCTTGTAGAGGGGCAGGGCGACAGGGCCTTGGCTGGAGGATTGTACCACTTTTGTGCTCTGAACTGGGAGTCCTGGCTATGCGTTTCTGTCACCTTCTCCATTACAGGCGGGCCTGTGGGTCACTGTTTGTATTTTTAACTGCTACTTTAGTGTGTATCAGGTTATCTTCAAATAGTGAGTGCTTTCTTCCATCCTAGATACCTTTTAAATAGGATACAAAATATAGAGATATGGGAAAAGTGAGTAAATTAAGTATGTGAACAGTAAAAACTTTTGTTCATCAAAATATATTAAAATTCTAAAAAAGGAACCCCAAGAGTTAGAGAAAACATTTACAGTACATATACCCAACAATGAATTGTATCAGGAATACATTAAATCATTTCCAGAAGGGTGATAATTGTCCAGTAGTCCTAAAATACATTAAAAATGTCTAATAAAAATATGCTTGCCTACATGAGTCATCTGGGACATAAAAATCAAATGTGTGATTTAATATCATTGTAAACTCCCCAGAGTGAATAAGATGGTGACAGGGTAGACCAAAGTGACAAGGATTGGGATGAATTGGTGTTTCTGTGTACTGATTAGCAAACTTGTAAATAATTCCTTCAATAGCTACCCTGGAGAAATCTTTGGAAGTGTTTACATTTATCAGTAACAAAAATGAATTGTAGAACATATACTGGAATAATCTAACAATCCTGATATTTCATTTATCATTATGTTTATAAAATAATACCAGACCTCAGTTGTCTCCTGTCAAAAAAAAAAAAACCAAAATTATCCTTATACATAAGTACAGTACAAATAAATATACCTGTTTATAGTTTTAGTTAAAAATGCATGATTCTCTTTCTAGGCTCAGATAAAACTGATATTATTATACATTAGCCATATTTATCATTTAGAAGTATAGGAAGGGGTGATAAGAGACTATGATCTGGATGTATGTACAGGGGTTTATTGCTGAATTAGCTACTTAAAGTGAATACAGTCCTCTAACTGTATATGCTAACAATTACTTTAAGAAATACATAAGAATTTCCCCATCATAGAAACAAAATTCAGTCCTTGAAAAGCAATCTTGTAATCTAATCACAAAAATGTATTTATTGAACTGTACTTTGGGGTAAGAGTTTGTAATGATAGCTAAACAATTGTAAAGGCTTTAGATAATTTTTTGTTACCTATTTTATATAGCATTAAATCAAAATATCCACTGAACAACCCAGCTTTCTTTTGTTCAGGTTAAAATTTCATAATTTCCCATTTAATAAGCAAAGGAACTATTTAACTCAAAGTTCAGCTCATATTAGTAGCACAGCTTGCTATCTTACCACTCAAAGTGTAATAGAAATTGTGTGCAATAGTACTCAAAACTACTTTTCTGTGTCCTGCTATGGTGTAAATACTCACTTTTGACATTGTATCACTGTATGATATAATAGGGTACCAAACGCTATCTTATTTTAATGACAGAATGAGAAAACAAAAAAATGTAAAACAACTCAAAAAATCATTTATGAGCAGTATCAAGAAATATAGAAAATAGTAGTGAATTTGGAGTAGAAACAGATTGGAAACACATTTAAGAGCATGAGATTTAAACAGGAATGGTTTTAAAGTTTGCCTCATACTTTATAGTCTGTATTTATTTATATATATTAAAACTGGTACAGAACTGTATTGTGCATGTGACAATAGCCGCAGAGTTCAGTGCTAGTAAATAATTTTATTTGTAATCAAAATAGGTTTCTTCATAATTCCTCATTTTTAGATTTAGCACAGTAGAGAACATAGGAGTAATGTGTAATGATTTTTCTGTATCATACACATTTGTGAAATATAAAGTATACGTTATGGTATTTATACCATACATAGCATGACACAGAAAAGTAGTTTTGAGTAATATTGCACATCATTTCTGTTATACAGAACTGGGGTACAGGCTAGAGGTTCAGGTGCGGTGAGAGGCTTCACCAGAGACAGAGTGGGGAACAGAACAGGCAGATCCACGAAGTATACTGCTGAGGGGAGCAGTGGGCGGGTCAGGCGGGAATTGAACTCATGAGGAAGTGGCTTTAGATTCTCAGTGCTTTAACCCGCTGCACCACAAGGGAGGGCCCATTTCTGTTATACTTTTGAATGGTAAGATAGCAGGCTGTACTTCTAATGTGAGCTTAACTTTGAGTTAAATAGTTCCTTGCTTATTAAATGGGAAATTAAACAATTTTAAATTGAATGAAAGGAAGCTGGGTTGTTCATTCGGTGGATATTTTGATTGTGTGACTATTAAATGAGGTAATGCACTCTGTTCAACGTATTCACAATATACAGTAAACACTTGATGAATGGTAAGTCATAAGAGCTGGAGTCTGGCTCTAGCTTTTACACTGATCACTATGCTACTTTAAGTAAGTCATCCATTTTTTTCTGAGTTATATCCAAAAAATGGGCATAAGAGCATAATTTCTGTTCATATTAAGTACTTAAGCTGCAAATCTTATAAAAAATGAGTGGTATGATATTTCTAATGGGAGTTTAAGTACCTTGAAAATGGCATTCAAAAATCTTTATAATCAAGAAAGCTATGTTGACTTCAGTATTTCAGACAACATACAAGTAATGAATTTTTTTCTTGTTGAGATTAGTTTCTTTTTCATCACTTTAAGCAGAAAGGCCTTTGGAGTTCACTTTTACTTGATAACATCATCCCTATTATAATTTGTAAAGCTGCATAAATTCTTATGATTTATTGCTACTAACAAGGCTAACCTCTTCTTCAAAATGCAGCTACTACCATAGTTGTGAAATAACATGATGTGCCCAAGATAGCAAATGTTATATCCTGTGATTTCATAATTACAGCAGTAATTGGAACGTGTGTTGTTAGTAATAATCTTAGACAATAATCTTACACTATCTCAGAAAATTTAGGCACTGGAAAGTTAAAATAATTCTGTCCTTCTAAGTTGGCACAGAATAAGGCCCAAATTTCTGGAGAACTCAGTAGTGATGCTATATAGATCTGTACCACCCAATATGGTAACCACTGCTATGTGTGGCTAAGGAATGAATTTAAATGTAAAAACCTAAAATTTACAGTTTAGTACTTGTAAGATTTTTAGGAATGTGGGTACCTAAAATTATTCTTTCAACTGTGTATTTTCTTCTAGATACAGGTAAAGGATTGCCAGTGAAAATTTAAAGCTACTGGACATCACTACTGTACAGGATCAAAGACATGCAACAAATCATAGAATCTACCATTTATTTTAATTCATCCAGTTAAGCTATAGGAAGTGAGAGAATGAATATTCAGTTTTGGTTGTTATTTAATCAGAACATTTGTAGGTTTTTATTTTGATATAGGAAGACTTAGCCTTCCAGATGATCCTTGGAAGGCTATAGAAATCCGCTATAGTATATAACTGGAATATTGCGTTACTAACATTTATATTTCATGAATGTTATACATGTTTGTGGTGGGGCTAAAATAGATCACCTTTAATATAAATTATAGCCTATAGCCTACTATAAGATGATTTGAGCTGGGCATGTAGAACATTTTCTTTGTCTCTGCTGCATAAACAACTATAAATGTATGGTTATATGACCTATTTTGATAAAGCATACATTATTTTAACTTTAGGGACTTATGTATATAACTTATCAATGTTTATTTTTAATCAATAGATACTACCTGGGAGTAAGGGATATTGTGGAAGAATTGCCTTAGAAGTGATATGAATAATGTGAAATTTTTCTTTTTAGAGATTGATTCTATTTTATATCCTTTGACTACAATAAGTGGATTTAACTAAAAATCACTTCTTCCTTTAAGAAATGTTCAAACTGTTCAAATGGTTAGTTAAAACTAGAGCTCAGTTGTCCCAAATACCACCTTAGTATTAAAAATTTTAGCATACTATGCATGAATCTATTTGTCCATTCCCACTTGGACAAATATTTTGCTATATTTTTGTACTAGCCAATTATGTATATGATTGTTTATGGTCTCACTAACTACTTAATAGTACATACCAATCCTCAAGTGAAATGCTTAGAGAAAACAAATAATTCTGTATTTTATAAACACAATCTACTATTTTAGTAAGCAGAGAAAAATTAGGTTAAAATCCAAATACTTTAATTTGTACCTTTCTCCACAGGAAAAGACTATTATCTTCTGCTAAGTAATTGTATCAGTTTTGAAAAAACGACACCTTGTTTCATAATAGTCATCTACTATTTCAGAATTCAAAGATATGTTAAGTAATATTTAAGGAGAAAGTTCAAATAACTAATTTAGAAAAACTGGATAATTTGAATTAGCATAACTTATTATGTCACATTCTGTGATTGATACTGTATTGTCACAAAGAAAGGGACAAATCATGCATTCTTAGGAATTTTACTGAAAACTATAAATCTCTTTTAAGTTACCTATGCAAGACTGTATTACTTGTATAGATCTCTGTAGCTAGGCAAGCCAGTTAGTCTTTGATGTTCTGATAATTATGAAGAGTTTAGGATTATGTCTTTAGGCAAAGATGCCTCCAGGTAGGAAGGTATAGATCAAACTGACATCATGACACAATAAAGAAGAAGCCAAAAAGTAGGTTGGTGTGAACATACCTCCTAAGTCAAACAAGTAATATAATGTAGCCTCTCAAGTACAATGTAGGTAAACAGTTAACCACAGCTTTAAATTGTTTATAGGATGAAAGATAAAGGTATATACCTTAATCTAAGTATCATCTACTGGGTCTATATATGTTTAGGAAGAAGGTAACATTAAAATCAGGTTATTTGAATAAATTTTAATGGTATGGAGTTATGTCATAAATTATACCAATTAAGTTAACTGTATGCCCTGTTAAAAAGAGGCAAATAATAGATATCTTTATCATCTTTATTTTATATTGTATTATCTAACGTTCTCCATTAAGCACCAATAAACTTTTTATCAAAATTCCAAAATGTATTTTAAAAGTATAGTATGTACATGAGCATAGGCTGTGTACACATTAGCATATTAAGTGGAATTGGGAATTATTTTGAATAGGGTTTAATTTTTTCCCTATTTATCTGCATGTGAGGATTATTTAAAGGGAGTCATTTTACCTTATAAATTTTCTTCTAAATACCATTCAAACTTCATTGCAGGCAATGAACTGCTAGCAGTCTCTTCCTCG